GGTCTATAAGTTAACAGGCATAGATAAGTCTATGCCCTCAGAGTTAGTAACCCTTCCCTTTTCAACATGGCGGCCGCACACTTATCCGTCCCCAACTCCATGCTGATGGAACTCTTGAATTCACAAGTGATATTCAGCAATTCCACTAGATGGGAGCGACTGGAGGCGAACAACTTGAGGTCATCTATATAGAAAAGGTGGGTCACTTTTGTTCCGCCGTTCCGCAGCTAAAATCCCCTCCTAGAGCCCTGCAGTAAGGTAGTTAGAGGGTTTAGAGAGAGGCAGAACCAGATTGGACGCAAGCAATCGCCCAGGAAGAAACCCCTTCTTATCCTTATGTGGTTCTCCGAAGCCATCATTCGCTCCCCCAGATGACAAAGGACCGTACTCCATTGCCCCATACACTGCTCGAGGAGTCTCTAACTGTACAGTCAATCTTGTACAGCTCGAGGACTCTCTTCAGCCATGTATGGGGCACTGAATCCAATGCCTTTCTGTAGTCTATCCAGGTGGCGGAGAAGTTCTGACGGTTACGTTTCACCACTTTGCCAATGACCGCGTCAATGAGGAGTAGTTCCTTGGTTCCAGGATCACCGCCCCGACATCCATTTTGAGCGCGTGACATCACCTGATTTAGCTCCAAGTGACGAGTGATTCTCGCACTCAGAATGGATCTCAGTGTCTTATATATGGTGGGTAGATACTTGATGGGGCGGTATTTGCTCGGGTCTGTGGTATCCTGATCTTTAGGAATCAAGTGAGTGATCCCAATAGTGAAGAGGCTCGGGAGCGGTACTTCTAGTCGAGAGCCTCTTGAAACTGTCGGGCGAGCACAGCGTAACATGCTACAAACCCCTTCAGCCAGTAATGATGCGGCCCATTGAGCCCAGGAATTTTCCAGTTCGGGGCCCTACGGACCGCCTCAGCCACGTCTTCCGGCGTTATGGTGACGGGGTCCATAGACGTCACTCGCACTCTGGCTCGTCACAACTTCCGTCCAAGGGCCTGTAGTTTACGAGCTCTGACCACAGGCCATGCCAAAATGCAACTATGTTAGCCTGAACCGGTTCTGGGCCCGCTCCACATATCTCGGGTCGCTCTAGTGATTTATAGAGCCTCTTCTGATCACTCAGGAAGAGACGATTCTGGTTGAACGGTATTGAGCTCTCAGTAAATCATCGAATACGCTTCCCCCAAGCGCTGTGTTACTTTCTGCGTGATATCCGGCTGGGACAAACTGTTATTTGCCCCAGCGAACACCATTCTAACGGTGCGCACAACCCTCGGTCTTATTATTACTTATTATTACCCAATCTGAAGCTTGTCAATCTGCCGATATGAGCCCTTGCCTTTGCGATACGGTCCTCAATTCTTTTTCTCCAGGTTGGGATGTCGTTACTTTGTCTAGTAGCGCATCCAGCCATGGGAAGTTTTCCGCCAATAATACAGCATACTGCCTATACGGCGCCAAAAAGAATTGAGTCAATCTCGCAAAGGTCCCGGTTGGCTTCCCAATAGGTCACCAGCATTGGGTTAAGAACCCGCACGACAGCCCAATTTGCGCTTCCGTGGGGAAGTCGCGATTGATTTTCGAGAGCCGTACTACGCGTTTCCAGCGTAGCCTCTTCCAATATGGTCCTCATTTTTTCTAGTTCGTAGAAGACTATTCCATCATCGTCTGAATCAACCACAACTGGAATCCACGGCGGCATCCACGTATGCAGGTTGCTGTCCAGTTAGTGGCGCCAAACACTTATTTGGCCTTTATTTTGTATAATATTTTGATAAAGACTAGTTACCGATTATATTAAATTATAATATATTTAGAATCGTGTCGGGATTGAGCTGAATATTTAAATCATTTGACAAAATCCACTACACATCTTAATGTAATGATTATTATTCATCACAAACTGATTTAGTTGATATGAAATAAATTTTCGTTAGTATATTTACTTTGTGTAGTAAATTATATTTATTTTAAAATCGCTTATTTTTCACTTCATGAACTATGCTGGCAGTACTTGTTATTTTACGTAAATATTAAGCAAATACGAATATTAACGATAATATTATGTTAAAAGTATTTACAGATGAAAATTCATGTTGTCCTTTTGTAGGTTTTGATTGTTTTTTGCATGAAAATACACTGCAATTCGGCATTTTGTCGGATTTCAATTGACTGGCACAATTACTTGCGTAATGGCGCACGACGCGGAGTAACTAGTTTTATATCCACTAGTTTTATAACAGCTATGAGTCGGACTCTCGTACCTTTTACAGAGGGGTATGCCTTGCGACGCCGTCTCCTTTGCTTTAACTTTAATACTCAAAGATCTGCCATGCAAATTATATCATATCAGTCATATCAGTCGCGTTTCTACTGCCGGTCAGTGTAGTCGCTTCATAATTATGTGGCGGCTCTAATGCCGAACCTACATTATTTTCGTAGCGTAAGCATACCAACTGCGCGAAAATAATTCGAAATGGCGTGTCAACCTAAACGCTCCGATACCGTCGTAGTTAACGAGTTCCTGGCCTTTGTTCAACAAAAACTGGACGTCATGGACCAGGTGTCCCTGGAGCAGATACTGATGACCAGCTTCACCGAGGACGAGATCATCCAAGCGAAAAAGGTGTTAGCAGATTCAGCCGTGACCCAAATCCGTCTTATCACACGTCACAGAGATGGACGCGGTAAGAAAGACCTGCAAGACATCTTCAGGCTGTTCAATGAGACCGATCCTGATGACATCCCAACTTTCGTCGAGCGTGATCTCTACAAGCTGCCTCCCGTGACGTTCGATCACGTAGACGTGACCAGATTGTTGAAAGACATCAAGACGTTGAAGGCCGAAGTCACCGACCTCCGTTTGAAATTTGAAGAACCGGAACGAGCCGCAACTGAGCTGAAAAATGAAGTCGCTATGTTGCGCAACATAATTGCAACATCTGCAAATTCACCGCCGTCGCAGAATGCGGTAATCGTAATAGTAGTCATATTTCACCGATGTTTGCGACGCCGTCACGCGAAATAGTCTGTCAGCGGGTTGATGACCGTGAAACTAGGGCGACCTCGGTCGTCATCGCATCACCACCTCAGCCCTTGACTGAACCCTTGAGTACTCCTCCGCCGAAGCCAACCTGTCAACAAGGGAAGATGTTTGCGGATGTTGTTCGAAAATCTTCACAACCGGTACCCTCTTGTGGTCGAAAACAAAATAATGTGGATGTAAAATCAGTTCCTGTGGTGACCCGAAACAGGAGAGATAATGAAGGGTTTACTCTTGTTGAGAAGAGACGTCGGTCGAGACCCGTCTGTAACCAGCGTGGGATCGCCAAAATAAACACAAGCACAACACTGCGTATTGTGGAGCCCACCATACAGCTCTACATCTCCCGTTTGGACAAAAGTACGTCGGGAGAAGACGTCCTGCGTTTCGTGGAAGAACGAAGCCGTTGCCGCATAGAGGATCCGATCTCTTTACATTTGCAGCGTCTGGAGTCTAATAGGTCCACTAACTTCAAATCCTACGTACTCCAGGTTCCTGCAAAATACAAAGAGACATTCCTTGCTCCCCATTTGTGGCCCTCCGGGGTAGTGTTTCGACGATACAGGGACGCGCCTAAGAAGAAAGTTTCCTAAATAGTGTTATTTATATTTTATATTTATTTTTAGGTTAAGGTATATATTGCTATGGGCCAATGTTCTTAATTTTTAAGTCCTTGATGCCTGAAAAATAGTTATTGTATTGTATTGTATAAATGACCTTGAAACCGTCATAGGTGTCTGCCAATGTTATTTTCCGGTAACTTTTATTGAACATTTCAAGATCTTAAAGCGGAAAACTTATTGCTATCACGTGTTATTGGTCATTTTTTTACACCTTGCACACCTGAGCGTTTCAATATCGATCGTTTGTCAAGCTAAAGAAAAAAGTCCTAAAAACGATTATCCCAAATGAAAATTGAAGATATGTCTTATAAAACACACATCCAAACCGGAAAGAAAAGATGTATGTCTTAAATGTCAATGTCAAATTGTCAAGAGTTTTTTTGGTGGGAACTTGGCCGACGACGGGCTGTCGCTCCTGTTTTGTCGCTTGAATAATGGTTTGAAGTGGATTTTAATTCGTAAAAGTGATATGATTTATGAATTATTTGTCTGCGCGTGTGAACTATTAGAGAAAACGACGAAACAAGTGCTTTGATGTCGATATAAACCTCAAGTTATTTTGATCGCTTAGGCGCCTTATGAACTTGAGTGGCTGTCGTCATCAATTGTCCGCTGGGTTGAGCTGTCGTCAAAATCTCCCAAGGGCTTCGCAATGTGACGCATCAGCATATTGTAAAGAAAAGAAAAAAAAGCGCGGGAACCTTGAAACTGGACTGATAAATCTATATGGATTGAAACTTATAAAGATTATGATATAAAGAAGATTTCGATTTAGCCTTTGTGGTTTCTGAAAATATGAATAATTAAAGAAAATAAGACTTGGCTTCGGCCTTTATGTATTTCGAAGAGATGGAAAGAAGAAAAATAAGACTTGGTTCCGGGCTTTACACTCCAAAATTCTATATATTCAAATAAAAAAGACAAGGTTGTATGGCCTAGTTCCTTTGCCTGCTCTCTGGAGCGAGTAATAAAAAACAACAACAACAAATTGTTAAATTGTCAAAACAAAACTCCAAAATTCAAAAATCCAATAACTCTTATTTTGGTTAGTCCATGAGCGAGTTTATTAATTCGAAAGAGTATTTATATATCACTGTTAAGCACGACATTTACTATTTAATGCAAAAAGTATAGTCAATAATTCCAAACTTTCCATTTATTTCTATAGGTGACCATGGTTACTTCATACTACATTATGAAAATGTCTAAACCCAAAAATAAATTTGATGTTATAGAATACTATAGTAAAACTCACAGAGAACCAACTTTTATGTACATAGGTTCTAATGAGACTACCTGTAGAATATGTTTAAAAGAAGGAGTAATGTCAATTTATGGCAACAAGGATTCCCCTGAAATATTAGATGCATTAAATGTTTTTGCTGATATTCAAATAAGAGTTGATGATAGTTTACCAAAGCGCTTATGTGAAGTGTGCTATAATTTTCTACAAGGAGCAATTTTATTTAGGAAAATTGCTAAGGAATCTCAAGAGACTTTAAATCGCCCAGTTAAAGAAGAGAGTTTATTAGATCATTCACAAGACCAAGATTACACTGATGATTATGAATGCAAGGACACAATACAAAATTGGCCTTCAAATGATGATTTGAGAGATACAAAAGTATCTAAAAGAGAGAAAGATAAACAAGCAACGAAAGTCACATGTCAGGTGTGTAACAAAATTATAAATCGCTCTTATTACAAAGAGCATCTTACTATGCATGATCCAAACCATCACAAATATGTTTGTGATGTTTGTGGTAAATCATTTAGACTCCGTTGTGCTTATCATAACCACAGCTTGAGACATAGGGATGACTTTCCTTTTAAATGCCAATTTTGTCCATACAAAGGTCGATATGCTGAGCTATTGAAAACGCACTTGCGCACTCACACTGGAGACTACAGGTATATGTGTACAGAATGCCCAGCAAGATTTTTATTTAAGAGTAACCTTAATAGTCACATGTTGAAACACAAAGAACCTCAATTCAAATGTGATGCTTGTAAAAGGGCCTTTCACACTGATCTTATGTTAAGGAGACATTATGAGGCTGATCATTTAGGAATTAAAAATCATGTTTGTAACATGTGTGGAAAAGCTTTTGGTTATAGAAATGCCATGATGAAACATCAGAGACATGTGCATAAAAGGGAAAAATTACTTTTTGGCCGCATGCCCTCTTATTTAGAAGCAGAACATAAACATAGTGAAGAAAGCTGATATGGTTCCAGGTTTAATTAAATATGGTTGACTATGCTATTTTTTTCTGATCAGACCAAAAATCTAACAGAAAAAAATGGGTACTTTGAAACATTTGTAGTGTATTTGTATGATTTGTTATAAAAATTGAAACTTGAACCTGAATGAACTTACACAAATGTGTATCTGCGAAATATGTATAGGACTAGTAATTATTTATTTATTGGTACTATTGGTTTGCTTGTGTATATGTTACAGTCAAAACTTTTAACCGGTCAAAACCATTTTTGACTGCAAAAATCAGGCAAAAGTAGTTTTGACTAAGGACAATGGTCAAAACCACTTCTATCTGCAGAAATATTGGGTAATAGTGATTTCGACCAAATTTTATCGGTTAAAAGTGGTTTTGACTAAGAATTTTAATCAAAACTACTGCACAAAAAAAAAAATTATATTTTCTATTACTATAATGTATTCGGCTTTAGGGAGGCCAAAGGATGACCCCAGCCAGCCTCTTAACCTACTGTCTACTCAGTTTTAAACAGGCAAAACCATTTTTGATTAAAACATTAATCAAAACTGTTTTTGTCTCTCAGTCAAAACCATTTTTTGCCTGTTTTTCGCAGTCAAAATTGGTTTTGATGGATTATGAGTTTTGACTGAGGCATATATTTTTTTTTCCTTTATCTACAACAATCTGTCGCCTTTGAGGGACATTCAGCAGTATGTTTGTTGGAGCTATCGCTGGCATGCTCGATATGTGACTTGTGTCACTTCCCCATTATTAAACAGTAACTGCGTTTGCTGCGTTTGTGTTTGTATTGAGCATATATAAAAAGATTTACAAAGTACGAACTTAATTTCATTATGTACTCTTAGCTAACAAAATATAATAACATGATAAATGCTTTTGAAGTTAAAATTATTAAAATTCATACAACCTACACCATACAGGAGTTATTATTAAGAAAATTCCCATTATGTTGACTAAATTTCTTATACATAAGTTGAACAACCTCTACATTGAAAGCATCATCTCAACAATCCAAGACTGTTTCCAGAGTAAACTTAGGCTTTATTCAAATTTAGTAGGCTATAACAAGGCGGCGTATAAAAAAATCATAACTGCCACTATCCTTACAAATGGTCTTACCTTGCAAACTAATTTATCCCATAAATTATATTAAAAATGGTTATGATAATCTGGATTAACTGTGCGTTCCTTATAGAAATGTTAGACAATTTTTAATGTTGGACTATTCTTCCATATCTCTCTAAAGTTCTGGAAGCCTGTGTGCATAAGCAATTACCTATTTTCATAAAAAAATATAACCTACTGGAAATCTTTCAGTCAGGGTTTCGCTCTGGGCACAGTACCACCACCGCACTTATTAAGATCACAGATGACATTTGAAAAGGGTTGGATGAACGGAAAGTTACAGTGGTGGCGCTTGCTGACTTTTCAAATGCTTTTAAAACAGTCGACCATGATATCCTCCTATCCATTTTTACTTATCTCAGATCCTCATCCCCAGCCTTGGAGTAGTTCTCGTCCTATCTTCGCGGTCGTCAGCAATTGGTTAGGTCAGGGGAACAGTTTTCTGCTTGGGCTGACCATGAAGCTGGCCTACCGCAAAGTGGTATATTATCTCCAATATTGCTTTCGCTATTTATAAACTCAATATTTAATAATTTCAGTTGCTCGATCTCTATATGCCTATGACCTTCACCTATACAATATGTAACGTAATTAACGCACACCCTCAGACACCCCAATTAGTATATTATGTTATAATCATAATACATACACTGATTTTTAGTTAAACATATTTATGCACTGATTATTTATCAAATGAGTTATACTAATTCCGGAAGAATGTTGTGGTCACAGTACAAATTCACGAACGCAAAGACTTTAACGTGCTTGAAATAAAGTTCATTTTTCTTTATTTTTATTGAATGACAGAATTAGTAATAATACAAATAAAACCTTATGTTAAGGTCCATTTCAGTTTGTTTTGACTGTACAGATTTAGTGTGACTGTAATTTACGTAGTTTGTAATTATTTTTGGGATAAAAAATAACTATATTAAAAATGATAGGAATCGATTTAGTAAACGATTCTGAACAAACTACTTTCTCAGAGTGCGTTAATTATGTTACATGTTGTATATACAATCCAGTACCGATGATATAATGTTTTATACAAAGGAATTTCAATTCCATTTTCTCATTCCATAGTCAATTTCAGTTTACACATAGACCACTGTATGAACTGGGAAGTACAGATCTCTGAAATTAATAGTAAAGTTGTTGCCACCCTACGTTCCCTCTTTCTTATTAATTGTCTTACCCTTCAAAACCAAGCTTTTGCTGGTTAATTCCCTTATACTTCATCAAGACCTCTCGCAAAATCTTAACAAGTTGGAACGCCTTCTCAACAACTGTATAAGATTTATATTCAACAGATAAAAATACGACCACATCACTGCTTTTCGTTCCAAGCTGGATGTCCAAAATGGATTTCTATTCGTCAGATGTTGGTCCAGAATCCTACTAACCCGTTTCTGTATATTAATGATCCGACGTCTCGTTCTTATCTTAAAGATAACTTCCACTTTCGGTATTCAACTCTTCACCGTGAACCTTGTTCCTCTAAAGTCCTTAAGATTCATATACCTTAGCATAGTACTGGTTTCTTTAATTCTCCTTTTACAGTTCAGACAATACTTCTCTGGAACGCCTATCCCGTTGATATAAGAAAAGCACCGAATGAGCACACGTTTAAAAAACTGATCCGGCAACACTATCTTGAGGAAAACTATATTTCACCTTCTATTTCTATAGTCATATTTATTTTATATATATAATTTATTTATTTTTACTATTGTTCTATATGTATATTAGTACGTATGCGTATATATTTATTTACCGTAAATATCTAGTCATTTTAATATTTTTAGCACTTACATACCAACTTTTACATGTCTAATTCTCCCTGGGTGGACTGGTAGAGATTGCTATAATGCATTAAGTCCGCCCATTGTAACCCTTAGATTAAGGTGTAACGCAATAAAGATTTAAAAAAGAAACAAATTTGATGAGATACATCTACTGTTTAACATTAAAAATAAAATTGACTTTGATCACTATCACACCAAGTGGTAAGTGTGTGAAGTGGTGATGTACTTAGGTAGTAGATATTGTGATCGATAATTCGCTTATCAAGGTGTTAATTACAACGATACTTTAGGTACTATTGAATATGTTCTTTTATTGCTTTTAAACCGTTTATGTCTGATTTAGCTATCATTCTAGATACTAAAAATCCTTTTTACTGGTGATTTTTGCTGATTTCTTGACATGACGGCTCGGTAGCGCGGTGGCTAAGTTTTGTTACTTTGCTTCGTCTCGCGAGTTCGAATTCCATATTGAACTGTTTGTATGGCATACAAAAATGTCTGAATGTTTTTCTATGTAAAATTTAGGAAATGTAAAATACCTCCATAACTTAAGGAAAAATTTACGGAGTGAAGGAACGTAACATTTAAAATGAATATGAAAATTCCATCTCCGAACACATACACTAAACTACTAATGCGGAAACTTGCTACAAATTGCAGACGTTATATTGGCCAAATTATAACCATATAACCAGTGACATACACTCTATACTCTACACACTTTTATTATTTTATTTTTATAGCTTACAAATGTCCCACTGTTGTGCATAGGCCATCTCTTTCGAGAGGGTTATGGGGTTATTCCGTTTATCCACCCCAAAGAATCCACCCTAGGGTGGATACTCGGCAACGCGTGTTCATCTATCCAATCCAGACGGGTTGGATAATCGGAATTTACTTTTATTTTTTCTTCCGACTTTTTACCGCAAGTACAGTTTCATTACATTCAAGACATACAGTTTAATTATTAATTAATTTTTAATAACCACAAACCCTATTAATAAGCTTAATATGTATTGCCGTTACCGTTAACGTGACAGGCTAATAAAGACCACGCATTACTTATTGCGTTTAAATCAAATTAAACTTCCTCGTTTTCAATAACTTTATTGCGTAATTTATGAATTTCAGGGGTTATTATCATAAATAAAGGGATCACAGGATTGCAGATACATCGCCGATCTGTAGGGGATTTCCGTTGAAGTTATTTCGATAATAGATAGTTGAGATGCGATTGCATCCATTAAGATGCAATTGCACCTCAATTGTCTATTATTTTAATACTAGTATCGAATCTGGCGTGTTTCCTGATTTAATGAAGCATAGTAAAGTAATACCTTTATTTAAATCTGGTAGTACATTAGACCCCGCTAATTTTAGACTTATTTTTGTACTGCTAACACTTAAGTTTTTTGAAAAAATTTTCAGTAATATTTTTGAAACAATTATTCCTGATAAATGTATTTTTTTTTAATGTAAGTAATTTACTTCATAAAAATCTATTCCGTTTCCCAAGGGGTCGCTCGACAACTGATGCTGGTGTTGAGCTGGTTAAATATATCTTTAATGCATGGGAGAATTCACAAGATGCTTTGGGTATATTCTGTGACCTATCCAAGTCCTTAGATTGTGTTCACCATGAAACATTATTCGGAAACTTCAACACTACGGTGTAAGGAGTGATGCTCTTAAATTAATTATTTCATATTTAAGTGACAGAACGCAAAAGTTTGTCATAAATAGTATGAGTTCTTCCGGGTCGATTGTACAAATGGGCGTGCCTCAGGGCTCAATTCTCGGCCCCTTTCTGTTTCTTGTATATTAATGGATATTAATGACTTACCTTACATAGTAGGGGATAACCATGATATAGTGTTATTTGCTGATGATACTTCATTAATTTTCAAGTTAAAACGACAGTCATTAAATTACGACGAAGTAAATAGTGCTATAGCTAAGTTAGTCAATTGGTTTAATGTTAATAATTTGCATTTAAATGGAACTAAAACTAAATTTATGAAATTTGCAACTTCTAATGTCAACTAATGTAATTGTTA